TTACTCCAAATCTTTCAAATGTCATTTTTAATCCTTACTCAAGTGTAAAATTAAGTTTTAATCTTAAAATAATTTCAAAACAATTTTACAAAGTATTTCGAACCGTTTCAAAGCCAAAAATTCCAGATTGTCCATAGAGAACCGATTCTCCCCTAAATGGTTTGGCTCCGAGAAAAACAGAATGCTCGGAGGGAACCGATTCCCCCCAAGGGGGTACCGATTCCCCCATGATCAACGGTCAAAATATTTGAATTTTACACTTAGGAACCGATTCCCTATGAGGGTACCGATTCCCCCCACGCTCCAAGTTGTTTTATTAATGGATTCTCATCTCCAAACGGCTCCAAAACATTCCCAATGGCTATATACGACTTCAAACACATTTCAAGCTACAAATACAAGCTAAGGACACTTGAAGAAACAATAGAACAACTATCTAAGTAATCAAACACAAGAGAATAATTTTTCATTCTTATTTCATCTTTCTCTTGTAAATATTTTGTTCTTGTAAGCTCAATCTTGTAAACACCTACCTTAGAGAGGTTTTCTTGTTTACATCTTTTATCCTTTTGTAAAGGGGAAATGTTCTAGCTTATCCATTGTAAAAGATAGGGAAATGTTCTAGTTTAGCCCGGAAAAGCTAGGGAGTTGTAAGGTTATATCTTCGTCCTCAAAAGAAATAACAAATTAGTGAATTTGTTGGAAAATCCTTGGTGAGGAGCTCAGGTAGTGGACGTAGACATTGGTTGAGAAAGTCGAACCACTATAAATCGTTGTGCAATTCTCTATCTTTCAATCTCCTTACTCCCTAAACATAAAACCGTTCTGACCCCTCTTTGCAAACCGGTACGGTTGTCGATTCGAGCTTCCGAAAATCCCAACAGAAGTGTTTTAAATAAACTATTTATGGTGAAGAGAAAATTAATAAAAAAGTTTTGACCTTTTGACGAAGAGTTAAAACCGTTTGACGAAGGATTTGTTGAAAAATTCATAAATATAATTGAATGGATGCAACTTTAAACCAATAAATAAGTTTATTCACCAAATGACATAAATTATTATTAACAAGTCTATTCATAAAAAAAACACAACTTATTATAAAAAAACATTAATCTCATTCGATTAATTTATTATTTTGCAACAACATTTTCTCATAGCTGAGTATAAGAACATAGCATTATTTATGAGGGGAAAAGAAAACCCAATAAAAGAAGAAATATAAAAGGATAACTTTTGTCCTTGTAGTAGACCCAATTTATCATTTTGCTCCTATCATATTTTCACATCAATTTAGTCATCGAAGTTGCTCAATTGCATCATTCTATACCCTATTCCTAACTTAAAACCTCAAATTATACACCATGAACCTTAAATCATAATCATATTACCTCTAAACCCTAAATACTAACTTAGAATTTATAATTTAGAGTTTTAAATTAGAAAAAGTATATATAATGATGCAATTAAACAACTTTGAGGGTTAAATTGATGCGAAAATATAATAACGATGAAAATGATAAATTAAATCTACTACAGAAATAAATATGACCCTTAAACAAAAAGAAAAAGAAGGCTAAGAATCGCCATGCTTATGCCAGCAAAGTAGCATGATTGCACATCACAAAATGTAAAACCTTGATTTCTGTTCCTTCGCCATAGCCAAGCACCTCCTTTTGCAGCTAGAAAGCTCCTTCAAGCTCATTCTCCTACCCATTATTGCCTCTTTCTGCTCGGCTCTCACATCAAACACATGCACTACTTTATATACACTAAAGACCAATGAGCCAATAGACGTAAAACAAAAGGTGTGGTCCAAAACATGCACTCCATTACCATCTCATTATAGACGTATTTTACTTTTGTTATCAATCTTTTAATTTTATTCAATCAATCTACTTAATTATTTTAATAATGTCAGTTAAGTTATTCGTTGTTAATATTTGACGGAACAATTGATATAAAAATTAATAAATTTGGTATAAGTATATATTTGATTCTCGTTATTTATATGCATCACTATTTAATTAGAGATAAAATTTATTGTATTAAATAAATTAAATTTAATAAGGAAACTCTAATCAAGTCATGATACATGTCATCAATTGATTGGAGGGAGATTTCTATTGTTTCAGAATAAAATCATGACTAAATTGATAGAATGTGTAAATAATGAAAATCAAATGTGTAATTATATCAAGGTAAATTGCGCAGTTAATACTTAAACTATCAGTTTTGGTCTGTTTTAATATATAAACTTTCAATTTTTTTAAAATCATACCTAACGTTTAGTTTTCATTTCATTTTAGTACTTGCCATTAAAAATTTAATACGTTTAGTACCTAAACTATCAATTTTAGTAGTTTTAGTACATAAACTTTAATTTTTTTCCAAAATTTATCATTAAATTTTGAACGGAGTACTATATGAAACAAAACCAAAGTTTTTAACGGCGGAATACTAAAATGAAACAAAAACTAAATCTTAGGTATGATTTTGAAAAAAAATGAAACTTTAAATACTAAAAAAGACCAAAACTGATAGTTTAGATATTAAACTTGCAATTTAGCCTAGATTTTATCAAAATTTATTTTGCAAATGAATCAGCCAGCAAAATGTGAACATTGAAACAGGGAGAAATGGATGGGTCACGACATGGAGAGGTAACTAAACATTGGACCAAGGAACTGGGTGAGCACGATGGTGGTTTCTAGACACTGCGCGTGACCATTTTTCATGAGTTACCTCGACGTTAGCCAAAACTGTTCTCGTACGTCTGGCTAACTCAGTGGGTTGGACCACCTTGTACGTGGTTCGGTTTGAGTGGTGTTCTTTCTACTTCTGTCTGTCATCGACACTGTTGTCGCTTTTACCATCCCTTTCGATATTACTGTAGACGGAGCACTGACTACATGCAAAAATATGGGTTTTAAAATTTTATTTCATGTTGGATTTACGCATGTTTTGTCATCATATAGTTCTTGTAGAATTATCATGCGCATCAAACTCTTAGTATCGATAATACTTGTTGTTGATGGGAATAAATGAGTTGTATTGATTATCGTTGATTTATATCTTTCAATTTAAATAAAGAGTTGTAGATTTTTAAATTGTCGTGATTTGAAGATTTATTTTTTTTATTTGATTTTGATTGTTTTTGTGATTCGATCACTTTTGGAATGATTGAGATGATATTGTATGATTTTTCAAAATTTTCTTGTCATGACCATGGTCATAAAATTCGTAGATAGTACTCTCGTCGACACGTGTTAACAATAAGGGGTTATTGATGGCTTCAGGAGTGATCTGGACTTTTGGATCAAAATATCAGATCCAACGACCCTTGTTTGATTGTGTATGGTGAAATCTTTAGGGTTTTAAAACCCTATTTCTTATATAATCTGAACATCAGATCGTTGTTTGATCTAATAACTATAAATCGTGTGACGCCTGACTTAATCACTAAAACCCTAATCTGTCAAAAGTCATGTTAATCGGTTGTCGTTCATCAAATAATTTTGTCACAAATAATATACTTTTATGATAACATTTATATATAACACTAATACTAAAACTAAATTTAATTTATTTTTACTTCGTCACTGTTATAATAAAAACTGTGACGATTAACTTTTCTTACAACTAAATTATTACTATAAGTATATAATTGTTATACAAGTTTTATCGTTAAAATTTTGATACTATTAAAATATGTAAATTGATATCAATTATTTTATTGACAAGAAATTATATGACAATAACAACATATGAAATAATCACTCTCGTTTGATATTTGTTATGTTAATGGTTATTAACAAAGATATTTGATTATATTTTTGAGACATACGACAAATAATATAAAGATAAATAAATCAAACATAATAAATTAATAAATAAATCAAACTATGTTTAATTATCTTAACAACGATAATAATGTTATTGTATCTATTTGAGCTAAATAAGTAAACAGAAAAAAATAAGTTAAATTAGTTAAGAAAAACCATAAAGAAATATTATATTATATTATAATCATTCCATACTGTTAAAATTAGTTAAATTATGTCAATAGAGATCAAATCGTAAATTTTAACATAGTTGAGGGACTTAAAACCAGATTTAGACCTTAATGAAAATATGGTTTTGGGCCTTTTCCTTGGGCGTATCGGACTCTACGTCGTGTTATCGAAACAACTTCTTTTTATTTTCTCTTTGGCTTAATTATCAAATAAGTTCCCAAACTATCCCTTTTGTGCCAAATAAGTGACTATAGTTTTTATGGCCCATCCTGATACCTAACATTACAAACATTACCCTTCTAGGTGCTCATGTCATTCACGCCGTTAGTTTTCCCCGTTAAATGACACATGTCAACACTTGGTAACTTTAAAAATTTTATATAAATTAAAAAAAATTATATATTTTTTTAAAAAGATAAACATAAATTTCAAAATAACCCATAAACTTTAAAAACTTTCATTTTAACCCCTAAACCCACGAAGAAGCTCTACCCTACCTCTCCTCCCCCCCGACGATCGTTACCCCTATGAAATTGTGACCCGTTGACGATCAATCGACCACAAATTAACGTTTTAAATCTCACGAACCCTAGGATGAAAATCGTGATCGCATGCGATTTCGACGGTGAATCGGCAACAACTACTATGACATATAACTAGGATGATGTCAAGGACTACGTTGATGACGACGGTGGTGAACAGAGAAGGCGCCAACGGCGGATTAAGGTTAGGATTTAATATTTTGGTATGTTTATAAAAAATAAATTTTAAAATTACCAGGGGTTGACATATGGCACTTAATGGGAAAAAATAACGACGTTGACGACCTGAGCACCTAAAAGTGTAACGTTTGTAATATTAAGTACCCGAATATTTTAAAAAAAACCCGTAAACACTTATTTAACAAAAAATAATAATTTGGACACTTCTTTGGACATTAAGGCTTTCTCTTTTGACAAATTACAATAATTGCTTTTTTTTTATTAAGAAATGACGGTAATTATTAACTCCATTATCATCAACTTTTCTTTATTTACAAACCCAGATTCAATCCATTACTCTCATTCTTCTCTCTCGATCGGTATGCGACTCTCTCCTTCTTTCTTGATCTGTCTTTTCTTTTAAAAATTTATTAAAACCTTAATTAAGTAATTTATGCTATGTTTGATTGATTGAATTGATATCATTTTGGCTGCAGATTTTTGTTGCTATGGCTAAGAGCTCCTTTAAGTTGGAACACCCCCTCGGTTCGTTCTTCTCTCCTAATTTTTTTCCTTTAGAAATTTGTAAGATATTGATTCTTGATATTGTGAAACCCTAATTTTATTATTTCCCCCCAATTAATCAACACCAACTCTTGAATTTTTTGTTCTTTTTTATCTGGGTATTTTTTATTTTGTTGAAACGTCCTAGTCTTTATGATGCCTTTGCTTTTCCACGAAAAGAAACAATCTTGATCACCCAATTTAGGGAAAAGACGCATCAGTTAATTAGGGTTTTGAATAAGTGAGGGTTTATGATGCTTTATTTGTGATGTTTGTGTTGTTTTTTTGATGTCAGAGAGGAGGCAGGGTGAAGCTTCTCGCATTAGGGAAAAGTATCCCGACAGAATCCCGGTGTGTAATGTTCCGTTGATTCATCTTTCGATTTAATCCGTGTTTGTTTTCTGCTATGTTTATAATGTTACATTGGTGTTTGATTGCTCAATGTAGGTGATTGTTGAAAGGGCGGAGAAGAGCGATGTTCCTGAAATTGATAAGAAAAAGTCAGTTATTTTTGCATGTTTTCTTTAAGAACTTTAGTCACTATCGATTTTAATATGATATCATTGATATGTTTATACATTTGTGAAAATGTGTAATGTTGCTACAGAATTTTAGATGATCGATGCATTTTCTTCTAGTTTCATTGCTGATTGTGTCACTGCCCATATTTGCCATCTTTTTCTTGTACTGAGGTTTTAGTTTCGGTTCTTGAATGCTCTTAACCTTTTGAGTTGTGGATTCCTGTGAATACTGACTAATTGAGGATTCCTACCCGAAGGAGTTGATAACTGTTTTCTAGATGGGGGTTTTGAGGCAGGAAAGATATCGTGGGGGCAACCTCATTTCGTACATGGATTCTTATGCTTTCGATGTGATCTGTTGAATCTTTTCTTTTACTAGTTTTAGTTTTGAAGGCTACCTAGTCTTTATTTTTAATAAGTTCATTGCTTCGATGTCGTCATGTCGGAACCTGTTTCCAATATTTTTAACTCTGATGTATTTCACCTTTGCTTCTTTTGATACTAAATGTTCGCCCTCGGGATCAATGCAGATATCTGGTTCCTGCTGATCTAACTGTTGGCCAATTCGTCTATGTTGTTCGGAAGAGGATTAAGCTGAGCCCTGAGAAGGCTATATTCATTTTTGTGAAGAACATTCTACCCCCAACTGGTGAGTTGAACCTTGTACATCTCTCACTCCTCTTCTAGTTTCCCTGTTTCCCGTTTTGCTAAACGCTGTATTGTAAACGACGTGCAGCCGCTATGTTGTCTGCCATATACGAGGAAAACAAGGATGAAGACGGTTTTCTTTACATGACTTACAGTGGCGAGAACACATTCGGGATCATCGAGGCATACGATCAAGGGATATCCGTGTGAGTGCGAGTCACGAGAAACACAAAATTGGTCTCAAGATGTAAATCCGAGACTCTCTGTTGCTGTGTGTTAATATTACCAGTTCAAACGTTGTTCTGAATTTGGTTACTAAACCAAGCTGGCTTTGATATGGATTTGTGCTGAGCTTTATGCAAATGATATTAGTTTCTCATAAAGATCATATAAAAGAATGAAAAAATAATAATATCATTAAAAGAGTATGTATTATACCCTCAAAATAAGATTAACTTAAGGGTAAACTACAAAGTTTGTCACTTCAATTTTATAAACGTATAATCATTCGATTTAAAAAGCTTAATTTGTATCATTTTGTTTTAATTACGATGTGGTCAAACATTCGATATTATGATGATGCAATATGTTAATAAAAGAGTTTAATTTTTACTTGAACTCATGAGCTTTAGGTAAAATACTGATTAGGGACCCTTGAGCTTTAGATATCTCCATGAATTATTGGAGGATCCAATCCATGGAGATAGTCGAGTTCCTTGGCGATATCGACAGAAATCGAAAACCTCTGTTTCCAGTTCATTAATTCCGGGCATTTCCGATGAAGCAAAGCGTCTTGCAGGTTACCGTTCGTCATGACCTCAAAAACTAGGAGCATACGGCGCCGTTTCTGGTCGTAATAGAATCCGTGGACCGAGACGACGAGGGAAGAGTCGAGCTTGGAAGCGAAAAAGAGCTCGTTTTGGAACTCTTTTTCCTGGAGCGAGCTCGTGGCCATCACCTTGACGGTGACGGTTTGATTGCCGTCGTTGTTTTTGTCGTTTCCATCGTGGTGGTTAGGGATGGTAGCGCGATAGACGGAGCCAAATCCCCCTTTTCCGAGGTGACGAGAGACGGAGAATGAGGAAGTGGCGCAACGGAGGATGGAATATGAGTACCGATGCGACGGGTTGGAGTCGGCGGGGTTAGTACGTTGGCGTCGGATTTTGCGGAGGCACAAAGATAAAATCAATAAGAGCAAAAAGGAAGCGGAGACAGCCACGACATGCGGTAAGATGAGTCGTGTGGGTAAAGGACTCTCATGGTACATCAACGGAGGTTGCTGCAACGGAGACGACAGCGGAGGGATCGATCCTCTCATTCTGAAATTGCCCAAAATCCCCAGAAAGGAGACGAATTTACGAAGATATAATATGAAAAAAGTGGGAATCGAACATGAATTGGAATCTAGAGTCATGTTGAAAAATTAGTTGTTATTTAAGTTAGACGTTAATTTGATGACTGAGATATGATAGTCGTTTGAGTTGTGATCAAATTTTATCATATCATAGTCAATAAATTAACATTTAACTCAGAATATTATCCATATTTTAATAGAAAAATAAGTATGTGTCATGATGAATAGTTAAATCAGATAATCATTTTATAACATTTAATAATCGAATAATTCAATAAAATAATACTTTATAGTTAAAGAATTATTTTATAAATTTTAATAGTTGAGAGATCTAATAAAATAATATATTATAATTGAGAAACCTAATAAAATAGTATCATTTTGTATTTAATGTTGTCCTTGTCTAATGGTTTAGGTTTTGTATGGGACACGGTGTTTGATTGTTTTATCTCTTCCTTGTGTTACTTTCGTACGCTGTTTGTTGTGATCACCTCTCTTACGAGAACGAAATATTTGTCTCTCAAACGAATGGTCCAAATCTGACCCCATCTAACTCTAAAATAATAATATAAATTTAAAAAAAAATTATTATTTTTAATTAATTTTTTATTTTATATCGAGTCAGATCGAATATATCTAGTCCCACAAACGTCAACATCAATCATAAACAGCAACTCTTACCATTCTTATTTTCTTTATAGAAAATCGAGATTTTTCATTAATTTTGGTTGGTTTTAATTTTTTAAATTTTTTTCATATAAATAAACATACTTTTGCATTTTACAATATAGTTGGATCACTTGTTTTTTAATCTTAATCCATGTATTATTATGTGTGAAGCTTCCTATTCTACTCGAATTACTTTAAATAATACTTTGAAATTAGGGTAAAGTATACACGATCATAAGATATTATTTTATTAAATCATTGAACTATTAAAAGTTACCTATAATTATAGAATGTTGCTTTATTAAGTCACTCATCTTTTTCTGTTATAAATCGACGGTTGTCTAAGTTAGAAGTTAATATGATGATTGAGACATGATAGTCGTTTGATATTCTATGATCAGATTTTATCATATCAGAGTCAGCAGATTAACGTTCAGCTCTAAATACCATCGATATTTTAACAGAACATGACGAATTTGAAACATAATGAATAATCGAGTGACCATCTTTTAATAGTCGAGCGACTCAATAAAGCAACACTCTATAATCAGATGATTATTTTGTAATTTTTAATAGTCGATGAATTTAATAAAATAATACCCTATAATCCGGGGCATACGTGTACTTTACCCTTGAAAGTACTAAAACCTTAATCTCCTTGTCAAGCCGGATTAGCCTAATTAATTACTGTTTACTACCATAATTAATTTTAGAAATGAGAGGGTTGGAGGTCCCACCGACCGTCTACTTTTAAGTCTAAATATGCTATTACAACCCTTCTCTTTCTAAACCACTTGAATCATTGTCATAACATCAACAATTATTGTCCTTTGTTTCATCACCCCCCATAGTTTCACACCATGTTGTATTACTACATTATTTTGATGCTAAACCACTTGAAATTAGCCTGTAACTTGTTGCTCAACCGTTGCTTCTTCCCCGACACTTACACCGCGCAGTCACTTCCGCCGGTTCCCGCCATCAACATCGATCGGCTCGGCGTCGTCCGATTCCACGGCCGCGCGGCCACCGAAGAAGACGAAGCCGAGGAAGTTACCTGTGCCGTCTGCCTATGTGAAATCGAAGAAGACGATGAGATGAGAGAGTTGAGATGTAACCATCTTTTCATAAGGTTTGCTTGGATAGATGGCTTGGTTATAGCCGTTGGTCGACTTGTCCCGTTTGTCGTACGTTGTTAACTCCGGCTAAACTAGTTGCAGGCGTCGAAGTGCTGGTGTTTGTCTGTTTCGATTTTTACTCCGACCAGCGCCGCGATAACTGGTGGCTGCGCTAAGCTTAGCTGAAACTTACAGTTAAAAATTCCTCCATTACCTTTTAGTCGGAGGAATTCTATTAGCACTAGGATGCCTTTATAACTGGGGCCAAGCCCTGGATTATATGGGTAAAATACATACAAATCGTTTAATCGTTAGTTTGATTATGAATGGGTACCTTTTCTCTTGTAATTTAGTCACCCAATTAAAATATTAGAGTAAACTATGCACTTAGATAGGGGCGTAAATGAACCGATCGAGCTTGAACGAATAAGGTTGTGTTCGTATTTATTTGTTTATTTTTGAAGGTGTTCATGTTCGATTCGTGTTCGTGTAATTTTTTAGTATCATGTTCGTGTTTGTTTATTTATTTTGGAAAGTGTTCGTGTTTGTTTATTTAACGTTCGCGAACATGTTCGTGAACATATTCGTTTAAATGTTCGTGAACATGTTTGTTTAGGGTTCACAAACATGTTTATTTAGCGTTTGTGAACATGCTCGTTTAGTGTTCGTTCTTGTTCGCCAACATGTTCATTTAGAATAAAAGGGAAAAGAGGACGGGAAAATATTTTTGTTTGCTATAATAGGAAAAATGGTAAAACTACACAATCAGTGCTTAAACTTCTTAGGGTTCATAGTTTAAACTCCAAATTTCATCATATATTCAATTTAGCATGTACCTTCACTAATATGCAAAATATAAAAAATAAACGAGCTTCTAAACGAGCAAATAAAAGTGTTTCTAGATGAGCCTCTAAATGAGCTTATAAACTAGCTTGTTTGTGAATATAAACGAACTGACCACACCTTTATTCGTGTTCGTTCGTTTATTAAATGAATATAAAAATTTTATTCACGCTCGTTTATTTAGCTTAAGAAACGAACATAAATGAATATTATACGAACAATTCACCGAATGCTTTGTTCATTTACACCCCTATATTTAGTATTTAAATTATAAGTTTTGGTCTGTTTTAGTGTCTAAACTTTCAATTTTTTTTAAAACCATACATAATGTTTAGTTTTCATTTCATTTTAGTACCATGCCGTTAAAATCTTAATGCATTTAGTACCTAAACTATCAGTTTTGATCCATTTTAGTACCTAAATTTTTAATTTTTTCAAAACTTAACATTAAATTTTGAAGGGGTACTAAAATGAAATAAAAAATAAAGTTTTTAACAACATGATACTAAAATAAAGAAAAACTAAACTTAGGTTAGGTTTTCAATTTTTTTTGAAAGTTTAGGTACTAAAATAGATCAAAACTAACAGTTTAAGTATTAAATACATAATTTACCCAAAATATTAGATTATTCCATCGTTAAAATATAAACACTTCTAATATGCCATAATTAGTGGTGGATTTAAAAATATCTTTTAAGTTGGGCACACATGCATTAATAATACAAAATTTTCTTATGGGATAAATAGAAATAAAATTTCACGCTGAGCAAAAATAATAAAATAAGAAACTAAATGAAAAAAATAGATTTTAGGGTGAGCACCCCCTTTTGTTTAATTTTCATTTTGGTCACCACCTGTTAAAAAAATAACAATGATGCTGACGTGTCACTATAAGATAATATCATATCATCATTGAAAATATAAAAAAAATAATGTCAGTAGTTTTGTTAATCTTTCGGTAAGTGATCAACATAAAACCAAAACATATTTTAACAAGTTAACTCAGAATATCATCCATATTTTAATAGAAAAATGAGTTTGTGACATAATAAATAGTTAATTCTGGTGATCATTTTATAACTTTTAATAGTCGAAGGATTCAACAAAGCAACACTCTATAGTCGAAAGATTATTTTATAATTTTTAATAGTTGAGAAACCTAATAAAATAGTATCCTATAGCCGGTGACCATTTGTGCTATTTATCCTTAAATTTAACCACCTCTCAGTTGTCGTGGGGTGCGATTGAGCCGGTGAATGGCTGTTTTCCTCCTTTCCCACGGTGGTTGATTGTCTTTTGTCTCCCTTGTGCCACTTTCGTACGATGTCTGTTGTGACCACCTCTCCTACGAGAACGAAATATCTGTCTCTCAAAGGAAATGATTCACGTTGAAGGATGATACGATTTTCCTAAATTACTTGGATTCCAACACTTTAATTTATAAATATATATATATATATATATATATATATATATATATATAACTTTATTTAGATTTTAAATAAAATATAAATATTATTTCATGAAGTCTTTTACATTCAAATATTCAATTTGGTCTTTATTTTCTCCTCTCTTTTTTATTTGAGATTTTTAGCCATCAATGTTTCATTTTAGTGTAGAAAGATCCCTATTTTAGAGCGTAATAGTTTATTAACTAACGATTTTCATCCATAGACACATCTTTTTACCCTAAAATAAAATAGGATAAACCATGCATTTAATATATAAACTAACAATTTTTATTCGTTTTATTACCTAAACTTTTTTTCTTTCAAAATTACACCTAAAGTTTAGTTTTCATTTCATTTTACTATCCGTTGTTAAAAATTTAACGCGTTTAGTACCTAAATTGTCAGTTTTTGTCCGTTTTAATACCTAAACTTTCAATTTTTTTTCAAAACTTAACATCAAATTTTGAACGGGATACTAAAACGAAATAAAAACTAAAGTTTTTAAGGGTGAGGTACTAAAATGAAAAACTAAACTAAACTTTAGGTATGATTTTGAAAAAATATAAAAATTTAGGTACTAAAATGGACTAAAACTGATAATTTAGATACTAAATGCGTAGTTTATCCAATGAAATATTGAAGTCAAAATACTCCAAGAAAAATACAAAAATGATTATTTTGTTAGGCGTAAAAGCAATTTTTACATTATGTTTAAATTAAATCTAAAAAAATTTAAAATATCAAATTAAGATAAACTATTAAGTTCAAATATTAAATTAGATAAAAAAAAACTTTCAACTACCAAATTGAGATAAGACGTTAAGTCAGGATACCAAATACGATATTAAATCATAAACAAACAGATATTTTTAAAACATATGAAGAATCTAATCACGTTTTAAATATTTTTTTTATTAATTTACAACGATTAAAAAATAATATATGTTCTAAATACTCTTAATAACTTGATAA